CCCCAAAACCCCAAAACCCCAAAACCCCAAAACCCCAAAACCCCGAGAAAGGAATCCTAAATTGAAATGAATGATCAAAAAGAGTATGAGTTTTATATTTTTCATCAATTACAATGAAAGTCTGACCCCTTCAAGCCCATTTTCATTTAGGGTGTTTCTTATGTCTCCTATTTCTAACATTTGGGATTTGATTTTCATTAATTTTAGGCTTTGTTTGAGATCTTGAGAGGTGCCTAATCCTTTAATAAGATTTTTTAATTTTTTGGAGTTTTGTTTCAAATTGCTATTATGACCATAGCTGCAATTCTGCATTGAAAGCTCTTCAAGTCTAGTTTTGTCTAATGCAAATGAAAAGTCAGGGACTTTAGTAACAGAAATATCGCACCATGCAAAAAAGACTTTTCTCACATGTCTCACAGAAGAAATGATTCTTTTGAATTCTCTGTCATTAATGGTAAAGCTCCTGAATGAAATCTTCTGTTGAACTTTTGGAACAATTTTGATCAATTCTGCAAAATATCCTCTAATTGGCTTCAAAATAAATCCTTGATCAATAACCAGATGCTCAACTGATCGAGGAAAATTGGTTGTTACAAAACTAGCAGTTGTCTTATTTCTTGGGGGAAAGCGGTGGAGAGTGAACTGGTTTAATTCTGGCATTGCAGTATATTTCATTTTCTTTATAAATTTATTTTCACTTGGTATAATTAGATTTATTATAAAAGATGCTGGATTGCTCGGGAATCTTAAGAAATGATAAGTATCTCTTCAGACTAATTTAAATATTTTTTTGTCAAATTGCTTTTCTTTTCTAGATATTGTTATTTCAACTATATTTATTATGTTAGACAAAATTGTTTTTAATAGTTAGAATTTCTCAATAAATTGCTAACATAAAAATAAAATAAAGTTCATTCTTTGTCTTTAAAACTAGATTAACCAATAAATTATTAAACACCAAAATTCACAAACAAAAAATCCAATATTTCTTAAAAATCTTCCGAACAATCTACTCACTTTAAACATTTAACTATTTCTCATAAATTTTCTAATCACAGATCTTCCCTCACCCCCAAAATTACCCCTCTCAAGTCTCCCTCTACCCTCCACCATACCCACCGCCTCTATTACCACCCCTTCAGTGCCCTATTCCCAGCCTCCACCCCTAAAACTCCCCCAAACTCCCTTAACCCCTCCTCCTACCTTTTCACACGGCTTGATCTGATCTATCCATTTTGGCAAAACTAATATTATTATATTGGCTCAACTAAATTCCAATTGTTAGGGGTTTTGGGGTTTTGGGGTTTTGGGG